CCCGCGCCTCTCTGCCCACCACATGGTAATGCTCAGAGTCCTCCTCCCGCAGCATCTGGAGGGATCAGGGCAGTCAGAGGCTGATTTCCTGTCAGAACATATAGACTCAAACGGGCAGATGAAAGGGGGAGAGCCACCCGTCGGAGTTCATCGTAGTCGGGGTGCACGTCGTGAAGGCATTTGACCACGTGCCCCGAGGGCCTCAGGACGCCACAAGAGTAGATGGGGTCAAACATCTCCATGGAAACCTGGGTGCAGGGAACGGGCTCCACGCCGACGGACACCACCGGTCTGTCTGCAACACACGGGCACGCTCAAAATTACATTCCACAGACTAGAGATCCCACCCCCAGGAAAAAAAAAACCCGAAGAGCAGCTGGCATCAGGCTGGGTTTGTCTGGGATGAAAGGCTCTCTGGGGGCCACGGCTCACCGAGAGGCACCCACAGTCCAGAGTCCACGTCTCTCAGGCTGGAAACCACTTCTGGGTCTCTAAAGAAGCACTAAAATCACAAAAAAACGAGAAACAACCGGTACCATCTCAACTAGGATTAAATGTTGATCTTATAAATGTTAATCTGGGATTGTTAAAGTATCATTAAAGATTATTAAAGTATTATTAAAGGTTATTAAAGTATTTCTGATTCAGAGTCATCTGTATTTAGAGGTCTTACCAGTGCAAACTGTTCGGCGTTGTAAGGGTGGAAGTTGTGGTCAAAACTGTAGGACCGACACGAAAGCCTCCCCAGCATGGACCTGAACGCAACACACAGCCGTCAGAGGGCCACGCAACACGTTTTTTTAATTATTTTTAATTTAAAAATTCTGTTGAATTTAAAGCTTCAACAGAAGTCAAGTCACCATTTCATTAACAGCGCCAAGGTGTCTCTGTCCAGGAGGAAGGACGGCGTCCTGCCGGGGAGAGGACTGAAGGCGAACGTCTGCTCGGACGGGCATTTGTCTCCCTCCATGTTCAGGCAACGACTCGAAGCTGGGTTTAGTCGAACAGAACTGGACGCAAACGCAACACAACTAACTAAAAGGTTTGGCTGGGTTTGTGTTGCTGTCGTTGCCATGGCAACGGACTCAGGCGACGTCTCAAAACCTCCATTTCCCCCCCTAAATGATTATTTAGCTTAAACATATAACCAGCTGCCTTAACTAATGTTTAGTAGGGTTATTAAATAAAAACAATTATTAAATTACATTTTTATTTAATTTAATTTCGGCTTTTAAAGTTCGAAACAAACAGGACAAACGTCCCAGGACAGGCCAACTTGTCTCCACAGCCACCAGAGGGCGACCTCGTCCTTCCTGGGAATCGTGTTTCTGGGCCTGTAAATCAAGTTTAGTCTTCATATATTTCTGATCTGCAGCTAATTCAACTGGTTGATCTACAATTTAACATGTTCAGGCTCTTTTTCCTTTTCCTTTTTATGAATCTAAGCGCACACTGGTGGGTTTAAAGTCACTGTTGTTGATGGCAAATACACAATTAATACAATCATTTTTATTAATGACTGACAGTTAAAAAAAAACAAAAGAACAACCTTTCTTTATTCAGAGTGTAGACTGTGTCTTTACATGTAATCATAACTAACTAACCCTTGAACGTGCCATAAAACATGATTGTATACTAGAAAAAATATTAATGGAGTTTTGGAAACTCGTGTATGATGTGACAGACTATGTTATATGTCACGTTGTAAAATTTTCCATCTGGCAGAAGCACCTGAGGCACAGTAGGCCGTTGGTCTTTCTTATATTTATAGATAACTTTTTATAATGTCATATTTAAGGGGCCAAAGCTTCTCGTTGGTTCTGTCTCTCTACTTATTCTTTTACATCTTTGGACTATTCAAGGAGTAGGAGCCATTTCACAGTTTGATTATTGTGTTTTGTGTTTGTTTCTTTTATTATTCCCTCTGAAGGAGGCAGCTGAACATTCACAGGTGTTGCAGGTTTGTTGATTGTGAGCGGTTTGGGCAGATTTTCTCCCTAATTAATGGGAACGTCGCCCCAAAGGGAAACTTCCTCTGGACAGTTTGATTGATTGGACTGGAGAATGAGTTAAATACATTCCTAAGCCACCACAACTGACTAAAACATTTTCACCACACAAGGATCACAGCAAAAATTAATCCTATTACATCGCTGGTGATCCTTATGAATATTTGATATCTCTTCAGCTTAAACACTCAAGTCATTCTTTTCATTCCTGGCATTCCAGGATTGATAAGACGGAGAGATCCTCATGACGCACATTCCAGTTAAGGACGCACAGACCCAGAAATTCACTGTGAGGGGAGCCAGGACTGTGAAACGGGGGGGGACAAAGTCACAATAATGTCCGCCAGTCCATCCCGGTCCCATACAGAAAACACAACCGTGTGTCAATCATTCCAATATCTAAGTGATCTCATCTCATCTGATGACATAATAACAGACATCATATTGTCCTGGGGCATAGTCTTTCCAGTAAGTCTTGCCTTATTAACCTAAAAATGCACATCTTTAAAATACTCGTGATTGGAGTGTCAAATTGACCCACATCAAGATGTCATGTTCTCACAATGAAAACAAAAATGTCTCAGGGTGGTTCAAACTTTCACAGGAAAGAGCTTAACAAAAAAGGCTGCGTAATGAGTCCAAATTTGGGGCAGATAGACCCTTTTTTTTCTTCCAAAGACTCGACCGAAGGATGAAGAAAATAGATCATCACAGCCCGGCCGTCACATGACTGAGTCAGGCTCATTAAAATACAGACATTCTCTCTGTCTGAGAAACTCAGAATGAAAAGCTGGAAGGCAGGAAGGCGACACAGGTGAGAGTATGTAACGGCTTTGAAATGCTGGCTGTGATCGTATCTCTCCATTCCGGCTTGACAGATTCAATGGCAGATATGGAACCTTTCCCAAATTCTCCATAGTATTTTCTCATTTGATGATCATGGCATGAGGAGGGCATCGCTGCTTCATGAGTCCTCAGCACTTTCTTTCAAAATAATCTGCTTGGAAAAGGTTCAGGAACAAGCTGATACACAGCCCGGGCTGCCTTTGATACTGTAGTAATTGTAACGGATCCTCCAAAGATTAGAAGTACACCAGAGGTTCAGCCAC